AGTATCATTTAGTGAAAAACTGGATGCACTGCCAAGTAGGGATGCAAATATCGCTTAAAATATCTGTTGAACCTCCTCTAATTATATCAGTTAAACAGTTACTGATAGCACATGCCTAGTCTAGTGACCTCCGGCAGGAATGGCCCAGGCCTCCTATGTCTTCACCACACACGGTGCTGTGTGGGCCCGGGCCCCCTAGTGGCTTGGCGCCACCTGCTGGTGGGGAACTGTAGGTGGGGCCAAGCCACTAGGGGCACTACCCAGCTATGGAACTGCAGCTTCCCCTTGCCCCCATGGACCTCTCCTGTACTCAGATCCCACTGCCATAGAGAAAGGGAGGGAGACCACCCAGAGCAGTCATAGTTTCATAGTTTCTAGGGTTGGAAGGGACCTGAGTAGATCATCTAGTCTGACCCCCTGACATGGCAGGAAAGATTACTGGGGTCAAACTGGCCCCCCCTCCCACCATAGCAGTGAGACTCCCAGCCCTGCAGTGGGTCTGTCTGCTCTCCCTGCAGCAGCAGGGCAACAGGCTCCCTGCACCTCCCACTGCTTGTGCTGTTGTGGCCTCAACATGAAAGGCTCTTCTGTGTTGCCAGGCCAGACCCTCCCCAGCTTGCCCCAGAGGAAGGGGGGTCCAGTCCCAGTGGGGTGGCCTCTGCCAGGCGTGCTGTGTCCTTCCCCCTCCCACCTGTGGCACTGGGGCTGCACAGGGCCTGGGACAGCTCTAAGGCAGAGCTGAGCATGCAGCTGGCTCAGCCAGAGGAAGAGGCACCATGGCAGCTGGAGCAGGAGGCACCAGGACTGAGGGGTTGCTGCTGGCCCCTTGCACAGCAAGTCTGCCTTCAGGGTGTTCCTGAGGGACAAAGGCACAGCAAGAATCCCAGTGTTAGGGCTACAGCAGCAGCCTTTCAGGCTGGAGCTGCGGTGCTGCTGTCCCTCAAGAATGCCCTAGGGCCAGGCTCACCATATAAGGGGCCAGCAGTGACCCCTCAGACCCAGCACCACCTGCTTCAGCTACTGCAACAACTCCTCTGCCCGAGCTAGCCACGTGCTCAGCCCTGCCTCAGGCAGCCCCATCCAGTGCCATAGGTGGGAGGGGGAAGGATGCATTGCACCCAGTAGAGCCCACCCTGCTTGGACTGGACTCCCCTTTCCCCAGGGCAAGCTGGGAAGGCCTGGCCCAGCAGTGCGGGGCAGCCTTTCAGGTCTGGGCCACAGTGGAACAAGCTCGGCAGCAGGTGCAGGGAGTCCACTGCCCTGCCTGGGCCCTACCAGACCCACTGTGGGGCCAGAAGTCTTGCTGCTGCAATGGGAAGTTCCTGCCTGATCCTTATGGGAGGGGGTGGTCCAGCACCTCCCTCCCTCTCTCCCCATGGCAGCAGGATACGGGCACAGGAGAGGCCCACAGACCCAGCTCTGTCTGCAGCCCCAGTTCCAGATCCTGCCCACAACAGCAAGAGGAAGCCATAGCTCCGCTGCTGGGCAGAGGCCCTTAGTGGCTCAGCTGTGCCCACTGCCCCTGCCTGCAGCTCTCTGCTGGCAGCCTGAGGCCTGTGCAGTGCCAGGTGCAGGGGGAAAACATAAGGGGCAAGGGCCATGGCCGGGGTACTTCCTGCTGAATGCTACTAAACAAAAACAATAAGCTGTAAATGGTATCAATATAATTGACATTTAACCATTTAATCATTTACATCCCTACTGTCAAGATGTTCAGGGTGACCAGATTTTGTTTTATGAATCTGAAAAAGAGATGTAAATTTAACTCTAATGACTGCAGGACTAATGAAACAGCATTTTAATTTTTTTTGTCTAGTTTGTTAAGTTTTTATACATAATAGCAAATTAATGCACATTGCAATAAAGTTACATTTGGTTTTGCTTCAATTTTAAATGGACTAATATAGCTCTAAGCCCTTAGCGTATTAGTAAAGCATCTAAGTTCTTTTTAACTGGAGAAAAATGTGTGTTATGTATATGGGAGGACATTTCTCATCATTTGCACCCCTTTGTGACCTCTTTTCAAAATCCTATATCCACCCATACACACGCTCAGTTCACAAAGGCTAGAGTTAAATTTAGTTTATATTTTTAAATGTGTCAGTCACAGTGAAATTAAATGAATGAGGACATAAAACCTGTATAAATCATTTTATCAGTTTTGTTTTGCTTTTCTTCCTACCAGGATGTATGACTTTTTTTTGTTCAAATTTAAGCCTGATTTTTAGCTTTGAAAATGGAGCAAAACAACAATACTAACATGTGAAAAGATGGTAATCGATATCAAAGATTTAGTTTAATTTCAAGATTTTTTCACAATGGAAGTGAAAAATACCATAACTTCTTTCATTAACTTCTCAAGCTGTGTACAGTTACAGTAGAGGTTTTTTTGTTTGTTTGTTTTTTCAGAGAAATGTACTGACTGTAGAAAATGCTCCGAACTGTTTAAAATATCTTTTAAAAAACCATAATGTATATAGTTCTATAGATTTTTCAAGAAGGGTGTAATTTTTTGTGTCGCATCTTAATGCTGACTTCCTGAAGAAGCTTTGACTACAATAGGCATGAATATGTTTTCAAAGAATGATGGATAAATTGCCAGGTGGTAATATCATATATCTTAGGCAGCTGATGGGGGCTTTTTATCCTCTACTTGTCTTTAGTTATACATAATTTTAAGATAATTATGGTCTATAAGATTGTCTTTTACCCTCTCTACTACCAGCAATATTTATCTTGGTTATAGGTTCAAGAAACTTCCAACTATACAATAAAATTAAAGCAAAGGGAACTATAGCATTTCCACAATGCACTGTGTGTCTAAGAATTCTCAATGTCCTTGCTATGGTCACTAAGTTGCCTAATGACAGGTTTTTAAGATACAGAAATAGTGAACTGAACTATTAGTCATAGTTTAGTATACCAAACCCACTGCCTGAATTTTGTTCAATAGAAAATGGGTTGATTTATAACTCATGGTTGCTGGTAAAAATCAGTACATCTTTCCACTGTAAAGATGCACAATCTACATGGTCATCCCCCGCCCCATTTAACCAAAATCCTCAGTTACTTTAAGGTCAGGTGCAATTTTAGAGTCAGACTTCAGAGACTGCAGAACAGGGAAGATTTGAATGGGGCAGCTGAACAGGTGCTCCAGACTCTCTTTCCCAGTCAATGACTGGATTACAGTACCATACCAAGACTAACCCCATTAAGATCAATACTAGTATTTTAAAGTCACACATGCTGGCCTTCATTAGGGGTTCAACATGCAAAATGGCAAGCAACCGAGGCTTCAGTCACAAGTATAAGCTCCCAGGATGTTTGAAGATCAGTGTCTACAAAGTAGTCACTCAAGCTGCTCAAGGAAGGTAACTAGAGTAAACAAAGTGGGTTTGTGCCCTTATTGTGCTTTGTCCTTTCAACAAGGGAGTGAACCAGTATACACAACTTCATGTCAAATACCCAAAATGGACTGAAACAAACTGCATTTTGCCAACCTTTCTTAGTTGTAATCCCAGGTATTCTCTCTTAAAGAAGTAACACCATTTTAGAAAAATGTTTCAAGTTGACAGAAACCTTTTGCCATGTTTTATCATTACCTACAGTAAGCAAACACTTCCGGAAATTAAAATATCCAGAGTATAAACATCTGTAGTTTTTCATTGGGAAGAGGAAGGATTTTTCCCCCCCAAAACACTTCTATAATTAACAAAAGATAAAAGAATACTAAAAGCCAAAACTGGCATATTCTGTGACTGACTTAAAAAAAAAATGCAGTAAAATGGGCACAACAAACATAATAGAAAAAATAAGTGTAATGAATATTTACAGTAGTTACTCCATTGTAAGATGCAATGCAACGAGTAATTACTGGACAATTTAACCTTAGTGAAAGAATTAACCACAAAGTCCACATAATGTACTGTTCTGAACAGCCTGCATGAAATACACTTTAAAATTATAGACTTTGTTATATAAATTAATCTTCAAAATTAGACAAAAATATCATTGTTTTATAAACACAAAAGCAAATAAAAAATTCATCCACAAATGAATACCTCTTTCTTGGGTTACAAACCAAGACCACTGGATTTTCATAACAGCAGTTATATCATGTCACTGAGAATCCATTTTTTCCTAAGTGCTCAAGATAATACTTAATGGACTTAATGACACTAGAATTTATGCTTGAGTAAAGAAAAAAGAAAAGTAGTAGTTTAGTCCAGAGAAGTAGAATCCCTCAAGATTTTAAGTGGCCAGACCTCCACATGACTTCTAGGCATCTAAGTCAGTAAATCAGAAAATACTCTGAATGTTAGAATACACAGTCCTTAAAGGCTGTAAAGAAATATGGAAATGTATTTATTTATCCATTCATTTTAGTATTTTTTGCAGCTCAACATTTTTGATTAATAGATATTTTCCATTAAAATGTGCAAGTTATAACTATCTAATTGAAAATAAATATATTGAAACATACCCCAATAAATGGAGGAAAGGCCTTATCTGTAAATAATTCAGCATCAGTAACTTTATGTATGAGAACAGTCTGACTGAGTTTGATGAGATTAGCTGCATGCATGAATGTTTCCCAGATCACAGTCCAAAAGCCCAATTCGAAGCCCACTGAAGTACACAGCAATCTTTTCCCTGATGACAGTGCACTTTGGACCAGATCTTGAGATCACCACTCATGCAAAACAGAAATATTCGTTTATGTATATTTTCATGTTTAAAATGTTTAATTTAATTCTTTTTTCTACAGATGAATACAGGAAACTGCTGAAGTAATTTTGAGAGAAACTGTTGAACTATTTTACCACATATTTTTCAAACAGAAAAAACTGTAAGCAATGTATTTTCTTGATTTTACTTATTGATTTGTTATTGCAGTATAAATATTTAGTGCCTTATTCAATTCACTGAGGTAAAAAAATCTTGTCAGAATAGACATTTTGGATAAACTTTAATCTTATTTATCACCTTTTTTTTTTTACCTTCAAGATATCAGCAGGATCCTCTTTAGCAGAAGCAACAAACAAATGATGTCCAGATACAATTCCCTCTGCGAGAAAATACTTGAATAACAAGTTGGAGTAAATACCATATTTATCTTCCTCTGTGGAAATAAAGGAATTTTGGTTAGAAATAAAATATAAGTGTGTTTGCTTGTGCTAAGCACTCTCCTTCACCCATATTTTCTTAAACATTTACAGAAGTCTTTTGGATTTCTCTTTTGGTCTGCCACTCTGATCTGGTGGTGAGCGTTGCAGTAGGAGCCAAACTACTTGGAACCAAAGTTTTAAATGTATGGTTCCATAACACACTGATTTCTCAAGCTGGAAAAGATAAAGAGCCCTGGCATCCATGAGCACCCTGACACAGTTTAGGGACAATATCCTAGCAGCTTCCTCCGTCAGCTGGGAGGAATCATGCCCTCTTCACGTACAACTTCCCACTAATCCTCCAAATATCAACCAACTTTTGTTGCCATAGTAGCAGCTCATAGAATTTCTTTACTGTTCCCTCACCTGACGGTTCAACCTTTGGGTCAATGGGAAAAAGATGACTAATATATGAATCTCTCATGCTTGAGCACAAGCTGCCTCTGCTGTCTAAAGTGTTATCAGATCTTAAAAGCATACGTTCTTTCTTAATTACATGTAACAGCTAATCTCTATTTAATGTTTATAAATAGACAATATTGATGCATGTATAAGTAGAGATAAATGTATATACATTTGTAAATGTATAAATAGAAATTATCTTTTTTTATACACTTGCAAATCTCTATTTCTATTACCGCATTCACTCAAATCTCAGATGACCTTGAATTTAATATGACCCCCCAATAATTAGATTCTATACATGAAACATGTAAAAAATTGTTCTAATTTTCATGTATAGAACCTAATTACTGGGGAGCTGTCTTTAATTCAGCCCTCCCACCATTGCAGGGGGGCTGGCAGCGGGGAGACAGGTGGTGTGAGAAGCTCATGCAGCTTACCCCCTGT